ACACAACACTGACCCACACCTCACACTGACCCACACCTCACACTGACCCACACCTCACACCTTACACTGACCCACACCTCACACTGACCCACACAACACTGACCCACACCTCACACTGACCCACACCTCACACTGACCCACACCTCACACCTCACACTGACCCACACAACACTGACCCACACCTCACACTGACCCACACCTCACACTGACCCACACCTCACACCTTACACTGACCCACACCTCACACTGACCCACACCTCACACCTCACACTGACCCACACCTCACACCCCACACTGACCCACACCTTACACTGACCCACGTCTCACACTTACCCACACCTTACACTGACCCACACCTCACACTGACCCACACAACACTGACCCACACCTCACACTGACCCACACCTCACACTGACCCACACCTCACACCTCACACTGACCCACACCTCACACTGACCCACATCTCACACTGACCCACACCTCACACTGACCCACACCTTACACTGACCCACGTCTCACACTTACCCACACCTTTCACTGACCCACACCTCACACTGACCCACACAACACTGACCCACACCTCACACTGACCCACACCTCACACTGACCCACACCTCACACCTCACACTGACCCACGTCTCACACTGACCCACACCCCACATTGACCCACACCTCACACCTCACACTGACCCACACCTCACACTGACCCACACCTCACACTGACCCACACCTCACACTGACCCACACCTCACACTGACCCACGTCTCACACTTACCCACACCTTACACTGACCCACACCTCACACTAACTCACACCTCACACTGACCCACACAACACTGACCCACACCTCACACTAACTCACACCTCACACTGACCCACGCATTGACTTGCTTTTACCCAGGGTTTCCTACAATCAAAATTTAAAACTTCAACATAAAAACTACACTAGAAAAACGTTCATCCTTTCAAGGACGTGCTGACAGCCTTAGGTGCAGAGTATGACACTATCTATCATAGCTTTAAACATGAACTGAACACGCCATTCATCGGAGCACATCAAGCAGTATATTTTCTTTTGTTGTTTCAAAATCTTTTTACAGAGTAAAGATACAGGTTCAACAGACCAAAGCATTTATTTTTAAATAGCGTGTAATTTATGCGGAATGCAAGCTAAACAAAATTTAAAGCTCAGAGGTAGAAGGCGAATCGAAGATAGCCATGAACGAACCACTGTTCAATCGACCGCTTTATCAATTGATTGAAGAATCGACCGACTAATCCGGCCAAGGTTGAGAGCCCATATCCACTTTTGAATTCATGGCTTTGAGATTTAAACGTGTCTTTATTGTTGAATATTGATTACCTGCTATTATGACTTGTTACTTTCGTAGAGTTTAAATAGTGGCTTACTGATTCTCTCCCTCTCCCAATCCCCCTTCCCCCTTCAACCAACTACTCCAATTATAACTTACAAGGCGATCGGTAAGAAGGGATCCCTTTTCCAGACATGCACAAAATTTGAACAACAGGCAAACGGGAAAGCCCGTTTAGACATTACCTTTGGTAGCGAGTTGTACCATCAAGAAAGGTCACTCGTGACACCGGCTGTGTAAACCAGGACCGATAACTCTGAACAGCTGTAATAGAGACCTAAAATTGTTGAATGATTTAACAATAGCTTAGACTTAAATCTAGAAATAATCATTAGAAAGTTTATATATATATATATATATATGTATATATATATATATATATATATATATATATATATATATATATATATATATATATATATATATATATATATATGTATATATATATATGTATATATATATATATATATATATATATATATGGGGTGAAAATTAACGTTGTTGATAGGGGCTCCTAAAGAAAATCTTGTCAACGGCTAAATGGTTTTTTTCTCCTGTACTAAGATTAGACTTTATTATCTGTAGATGTCGTTGTTTTAGAGCTTTCTTGTTTAGATTATTGAAACAGGTCACCAAAAAATGGCGATCAGACTTCTCATCAAAACTCAGATTGTAAAGAAGAGGAATAAGAAATTTATTAGACGCCAATCTGACAGATATGGCAAGGTCAAGGCAAACTGGCGTAAACCCAAGGGTATTGACAACAGAGTAAGGAGGAGGTTCAAGGGTCAATATAAAATGCCAAACATTGGTTATGGTACCTGGAAGAAATGCAAGCACCTCTGTCCTGATTGCTTTAAAAGTATTGGTTCATAAAATTAGGGAGCTGGAAGTATTGTTGGTGCAAACCGCACTTTCTCTGCTGAAATTGCACACACTGTCTCAAGTAGGAAGCGTAAAGATATTGTTGAGCGTGCCCAGCAACTAGCTATTAAAGTGACAAATCCAAATGCCCGTCTTCGCTCTAAGGAGGATGAATAAACTGGCAGCTTGGTTAAATTAATAAACAAAAAATATATGAAAAAAACAAAAAACAAAAAAAAACTTGAGAATCAAGGGACAAGATTTAAGTGAATGAGTTGATTAGCATAGCGAAGGGGTCCGCAAATTTGTGTGACGGAAGAGCCAAAAGATACAATTTACAAAATTACTAAGTTTGCAAAGAGCCAATGACATTTTATTGTCAATTTTATGATATTTGTGTAGGATTATATATATCATTCTTGCAGAGCTAGTTAAAATACCTAAATATTTTTTGTTCGAAACATGTGTATGTTTTTATTTGAATAATATTATTTCATATTGAAAGCTATTAAATTGTATATATATACTAGCGTACCCGTCCCCCGCGCGTTGCCGCGGGGATAGAAGAAAGTATGACGAAATGTATTAGAAAGATTTCACCAACGCGTTACCAATCATATGTTCTTAGACGCGTGACCGTCTTTTCTAAAAGTGAGTTATTTAAATGTAAACAATGCCTGCGCTTAAATGATAAATATTGGGACACAGGTTCACCTACACTACCGCATGTAAACATTGAGTGTACATTAATCACTCACCGAAATAATATGTTAGAACATACTTCGGTGACCGCCCATGTGTCAGAGACGTACAGGGGCGCTCTCAGGGCCCCCACACCCCCCCCCCCCCCCCGATTACACTACCGCATAGGCGCGGCGTACGACCCCTGGCTCCTTAAAAGTAATAGGCGCCATCGTGCCAAATAGCGTCCTGTTAATAATGATGCAGATTTCATCATTCGCTAAAGTGCCACAAATGAACAGGCTTTTTTTCTTTAACACGTAAAAAAGTATTTGACATGTTTTAATTATCAGTGTGACTGATGCAATATGCTAGCATTACTAATGGTCTATTATTAGATGCTCGATCTCAATTTCTGACTGGATTGTCTAATAGTAGATGCTTATTGCATCATTCGCAAAGTGACGAAACTCTACAGTAGGCTCCTCATATTCAAAAAGTTTTTTTTTCATCTTTCGCAAGGTGACGAAACTGTACAGGATTTCCTCGCGTTACAAAGTTATTTTTAGAAGCCTGTTGTAGTTTTACCGCTGAATATAGTAGTACCCCTTACTCGCTATACAGGACGCTCGATTAACGGATGCCAAGTGCCAACTTAGTCGCTCTAAAACTCTGGGCGCCAAACCGTGTATTGACGAAAGTTGTACCCTATATGGCGCCGCCCGTAAGAAACTTTAGTTTTCTTTTTCGCAGAAATATTCTCGGGAGTATTCTCATCTACTTCCTAAAGTTTCATCGTACTCGGATGAACCGCATCCGAGTTTTATTTTTTATATACCGTATATTGAGAAAAAAAATCGCTTCCCCCCCCCCCCCGGTGGTGCGCCGCCCTTGCAATATTAAACAATATTTTTACAGAACCCTACCATTGAGTGATCTAATCATCTCCCCAAAGTTTCATGGTACACGGATGAACGGTGTGAAAACGAAAAAAAAACAACGAAATTGTATAAACCGTATATAGAGAAAAATCGCAGCCGCCCGTGGCGCCGCCCTTGCGAAATTAATAAAGGTTTTTTTTTACAGAACCCTTCCCTGAATTGTTCTAATCAACTCCCCCAAAGTCTCATGGTTATCGGATAACGGTGTCACACCAAAATCGACTCTTATTTTTATATACCGTATATAGAGAAAAATCGCACGCTCCCGTGGCGCCGCCCTTGCGAAATAATTAAAAATGATTTTTTACAGAACCCTTCCCAAGAGTTTTATAATGAACTCCCCAAAGTTGCATGCCTATCGGATGAATGGTGTCACTGCAATTCACTTTTATTATTTTTATATACCATATATAGAGGAAAATCGCACCCTCCCGTGGCGCCGCCCTTGCTAAATTAATTTTTGTTTTGCAGAACCCTTCCCTAGAGTGTTATAATAAACTCCCCAAAGTCTCAAGACTATCGGATGCACGATGTCAAACGAAAATCGACTTTTTATTTTTAAATACCGTATATAGAGAAAAGCAAATCGCGCCCTGCGAATTTGAATTTTTTTTTTCGCAGAAACCTCCCCAGGAATATTCTCAACAACTTCCCAAAGTTTCACGGCGATGTGATGAGAGGTGTAGTAATGCATAAAGGACAAACACACACACAAACACACATACACACAGACATACATTGCTTTATATATATATATATATAGACTTAGCAGCCATTAATATGTTCTTACCTAAAATTGTGTCTGTTTTTGATAAATTTTGGATTTCTGAATAATAAATTTGCTCTAAATTACGTAGAAAAGCATTAGCTCAATGACAGGCTGCATTTTACCAGATGGGAAACCACCAATACATTGCATGTTAGAGAATAATAAAAACAGACTTACAAATTTTGGATCCCTTGAAAATCAAATGAGAAGATTAAAGTGTATGAGTTAAATAAATATAGGCCCTATATATATAAATCATACATTTTGGGACGTAAAGGCGTTTGGATTTATGCTTGGACGGGTGGTTGGAAGGATGTTTTGACGGATGGTTGGGCAGATAGTTTACGGATTGTTGGGCGGATAGTTGGACGGATGGTTGGGCTTATAAATGGGCGGAAAGTAGGAGGGACAATCATACAACTGGAAGGAAGGATGGCTGGATTGATGTGTAGATGTGTGGATGGATGGTTAGTTACGTGGTGAATGTGTATTGATGGATGTTGTTGAAGTAATGGATACTAGATTAAGTTTGTCTTTAAGTTTCGAATCATTCTCCAACAGTATGAATGTCGTAAAGGGAACAGATACAGCCAAGTGCCGGGGCGTACAGTCGTCAGGCTGGACAATGGGCACAAAGTTTTGTGTGACACCGAGACTGACGGTGGGGGATGGATTGTGATACAGGTAACATCAAGATTAGATAAGTTATATTTCATATTTAAGACAATTTGACTACAGTAAAGGTCTATTTTTCTAACTCTTAGTCTATCCCTGTCAATTTGTCAATTTTAAAACAAAAATCTGGTTGATTTGTGAAAGTACTTGACTTACTTAGTCCTCTTTGCTCCTTATGGAGCATAGGGCTTCCACAATTTCCTTCCATTTCTACCTATCCTCGGCTATTAATTTTGACATCTCCTAAGACATCCATGTTGGCTTCAGTTCTTCAAGAAGACTCCGCCTCCAGGTCTGTCTTGGGCGCCCTCTCTTCCGCTTTCCCTGGGGGTTCCACTCAAGAGCTTGGCGTGTAACATTTGTGTGAGCCTTTCGCAGTGTGTGACCCACCCAGCGCCACTTCCTCCTTCTTATTTGCACACCCATAGGCTCCTGCCTAGCTTTCCTCCATAGTTCCAAGTTTGGCACTTTGTCCTGCCATCTCAGTTTCAATATCTGTCTAAGGCATCTATTCATGAAGGTCTGTATCTTTGCTGTGCTTGCTATGAAGACACTTGAAAGTACTTGACAAACATTATCTTCTTATTCATCTACTTATTCCATTTGTCTTTCTTTGGAGCATGAGGATTAGAAAGTACTTTACAAACAAAATTTCAAACTTAAAAATCCAGCCACATCCATCAAGCGTGTAATTTGGGTTTGTGTTTGGATTTGAGTTTGTTTTTTTTTGTTTGCTTTTTTTGTTCGCGTTTGTGTTTGCATTTTCTTTGTGTTAGCGTTTGTGTAACGTTTATGTTTTTTTTTTGTGTTTTAGTTTTGGTTGGTTGTTGTTGGGGTTAATTCGAAAAGAAGTCTATTTCCTAAACCCGGGAAATGGCGGCTATAAGCTAATTTCTAATCACACAAGTAACGGTCCTTTACAGAAAGGTTTTTCAGAGAGGCCAGTGCAGGGCCTGGCCGGGACGGCTAGTTTATAATAAAATGTTCCATTTTAACTCGGCCCACATAGTAAAAATTATCTGAGAAAATTTTATTTTACTGCAACTATCAAAAATAATATTCGATAAAGTATATGAAACTTTCGAATTGAATATCATATAGTGTAGGTTAAAAAGTTGTTTAGAAATTGATTTTAGTTTTTCTTCAATTTTTAATGAGCTAAGCCACTAATGTGTGAATAAATGAAATATTAATTTTAGAAATCTATTCTCTTCTTTTTATTTAGAGAAGAATGAATGGCAAAGTAGATTTTCTGAGAACGTGGGACGAATATAAAAATGGCTTCGGTGACTTTTCTGGTGATTTTTGGGTTGGTAACAACATCATACATCTGTTAACCGTCCAGGTAATACTCGTATATATATATATATATATATATATATATATATATATATATATATATATATATATATATATATATATATATATATATATTTACACACATATATACTTTAATAATTTCTACATTAAAAATGCTTATCGTTCAATTTTGTAAAAGTTGTACTCAAATTTATTAGCTTTAAGAGACTGAAAGCACATTAAGTACCATTTTCGGTTACCGGAAAGGATTAAAGTTGAATGAAAACCACACATTTATTAGAGTATTTTTATTAAATGAAAGACATCGAAACTACTGAAATTGTACTCAAATTATCGTGTCTGTTTATAGACACAAGGGGACACACAAAATTTTTCTTACTCGGGTGTGACCTACTTAGGTCTAGTAATGTTTTATTTTTAGTTTGACATTTGTTATAATACCATATATGGTCTGTGGTGCAACAACCGGTTTTTTTCCGCTGTCTTACTAAGAGAGTCTTAGACTCAGAAATTTTCCATCGAGAGATGATTGATTGTTTCAGACCAGATGACCACCCCAACCAATGGTCTTATGATTTGAAGGTGACCTTCCATGTTACCTAAGTCTATAAATAGATCGCCCACAGGTGTCTCGAGGCAGTTACTTGACTACACGTCGTCGAGAGTTGATAAGCCCTGTGTGTTGCCGTTTAGTACTACGACTAAGTTGTTAAAGAGCATATTCATATATTTCTTGTGGTTAAGAAATTCTTTATGCTTATAGCAGTGTTATGTTTACAGTGGTGATTTTTCTGAAGTGTTTAAAGCTGTGATAGTGTATCATACTATTTATTTCCCACGAATTGTAAGTTGGGTTTTGATCATTTTGTATATCCATTTTATTCTTGTATAAATCTAGTGTTCTGCCACGACTTTGTACACCCATTACAAGTTATATACAGATTAAAGGTTTTGTTGGCATCATTAGTTTCTCTAGTGTTTCCCCTAGACATCAATTACGAGTCCTAGTGAACTAGTGAGTCAATTTTCTTTTATTTAGGCTTATTGCCATCTGTGTGTAATCAGTTTAACGAATCCGGGAGCGTTCGCCATCTATCTGGCTGATAGATTGGAGTCCGTTACACGGGTAAGTGTAAAACATCGATATTTTGATAAATCTCGAATTAGATTTATTGCACGATTACAATACGTCATCAATGAGTCGTATACAATTAGAAGTTCTTCTTCAGCGTTCTGAATTTAGTTCATGGTAGAGGATTTAAACAACAAGCCCAACTTCGTGTATGCACTGGACTGTGGTCTCCAGATCAGCAGGTGCCCCATATAGTTTTTCCTTGAGTGGGGTGTGTAGGGGCAAGTGTTTTGATCGCGCCTGGTTATATAAGGAATGTCCTGATGGACGTGCTCTGTATTCTCCGGAGCCATGCCTCAAGGGCAAGTTTCGCCAAACCCAACTTTTAGATTTTTATGCCTGTGCTGTTTTAGTCTGTTGTGGCCTGTTCTGAGTCTGAAGATTATGTGTTGCTGTTGATTAAGTAGTGAAATGTAAAACGGTAAAAACTGTCGAAATCTCATTTGATTTATTTCGCGCGATTATAAATTCTTTATACGAAGTATTGAATAGAAATAAACTTTTTAAAAAATTAAACTAAAAGTTGAGTATATTAAAAAATAAATATGGGGTCGGCGTGGTCTCGAGTTCGAACCCTCGGGCAGATGAGGCTCGTTAGCTGGGGACAGCAACTCTTCTAAGAGAGTTTGTTCTTGGTTGGACAAAGGCTATGGAAGCAAATCCAAAAAGAAAAGCCGGCTGAAATCGGAGTCAATGGCCTCAATGGCGCATAACCAGTTGACACGTAATCCTTAATTGTGATAGACGCATGGTCGAGTAGGCAAAAGCTCATGATTGATAAATTCGAAAAAGTCTCGAGTTCCTCTGGCAGATAAGGCTCGATCCCCTCCAACACTAAAAATTAAGAACGAAGAAGAAGAAGAAAAAATAAATAAGGATGATAATAAAATATAATTATAGCGAAATCCCCCTACATATTTTAGTGACCAATATTTTTTTTTAAAAGGAAGATTTATTTTCCCTTTTGAAAGTTTATTATTATGAAGGTTTTTTTTAATTATTTGTTTTTTGGATAGCTAAATTACACAGAGGATTTTACGCACGTCTATTATAAAATCAGTAGTTTTTTTAATGCAGATGTAGCTTCTTATTCACTTTAAAATACGTCTCTTAATTTATTAGAAATATCTGTAACATTAAGTAGTTTCAAATTATGGCAATTTTTGTCTCGGGCGAGTAGGCATTTAGTGTTATAAATAATGATTTTTAGAAATGTTGATAACATTGTATAGAGTAAAAAAATGTCCTATTTTGTGTTATATAATTTTTAAAAGATCCCATAACTGTTCATTGTTTTTCCAACAGGGCTACAGAGTGTTACGATTTGACTTAAAGTACAGGGGTACAAGCTACTTTGCCGAATACAGAAACTTTTACGTCAAAAGCGAGGACTACAAATACAAGATTAACTTCTCGGGCTACAGAGGGACTGCACCGGATCATTTTTACCAACACGAGAACCAGTGGTTCTCCACCATAGATAGAGACAACGATAACTCCTACAACGATTGTGCCAATAAGCGGAAGTCAGGCTGGTGGTATAACGATTGCCAGTGGGTCAATGTCAATGGTTTATGGAGAAGTCAAGGTGAATACACTGGAATCTACTGGCACGACATAACGGGACCGCACGAATCTTTAGACTATGTTGAGATGAAAGTTCGCCGAGAATGATGACAAAAATGCAATGCCCAATGTAAAGAATAATTTTTGTGTGCACATTCACTATTATAAAATTTGTAATTTCTCAGTTCACTTGCTACAGCGGTTTGTCTATTTTTGTAAAGCCAGTTGTTGAACATCGGGTATCTATTGCTAGTATGTTCAAAACAGGTTGAAATGTTGATGTTATATTTAGATTTTTAGTACTTAATTAACTTTGAGCAATCCTACAGTACTTTAAAATACTTTTCGAAGTCATCATTTAGACCTGGAATCGTTAGAACGTAAAGTTAATACATAATGATTGACCGTGTATACGGAAAATCAACATAAAAATGTTGATTGTAGTAGTTACACTGTAGTAGTGGACTTAGCCACAATAGCATGGCGGGCAACTCTACGCTAAGAACGATAATCTAACAACTACAGCAAAGTGATTTTTTTGTCATTTTTTCAACAGACAGTTGGACAACCAGTTTATCTAAATGCAAGCTAGTATAACTCAATTTGATAGCATATTTGATGAATGCAAATTAACCTTAAAGATCTTTTTAACTGTGTTAACTTGTCACCAACAGTTTCTTAATGACACATGTTTAGTTTCTTATTGACCTGTAATGCTCTCCCTTAAACGAACTGTTGTATTAGTTTACATTAGCACGTTTACATTCAAAACTTGACTTTAGTTATTGCGCTATTCTTGATGTTATAATTGATTTGTTTGTATAACTGTGTTGTTAATATATATGCTATTTGACTCATGTAACTGCATTCAAAATCTGACTATTGTAAGTAAATTAAAAATTTGACTTTATTTATTGCACTATTCTTGTTGTTATAAATGCTTTGTTCATATAACTGTGTAGCTTATTAAAAATTTAACTGTTGAGTCTGAATTCAAAATCTGATTATTGTTTTTACTTTAAAAATGTGTCTATTGTAACTACATTCAAAATCTGATTATTCTTACTACCTAAAAATGTGTCTATTATAACTACATTCAAAATATGATTATTGTAACAACCTAAAAAATGTGTCTATTGTAACTACATTTAAAATATGATTATTGTAACTACCTTTAAAATTTGACTATTTAATTACATTCAATATTTGCCTGTTACTACACTATTCTTGATGTCATAAAGGTACTGAGATGTCATCCACAGCAAAATCCTATCTAAGTTTGGTCTTTGAAAAACAGCGACATTGTATTGTTCAAATAACTGCGCTGCTAATATATTCAAATATTTATATAAATTTATGTAAATATCAATGCTTTGTTCATATAAATGTGTAGCTTATTACAAATTTGACTGTTGTATCTGCATTCAATTGTATTGTTTTCAATTGATTATTGTAACTACCAAAATAAACCGGGAGTGATCTCTCCTAAACTTTCTCGGATATTCTTATATAAAACAACAGGCGATGGGAACTCGGGATATAGACATGAATTTTAATCCATTTTAAATACTTAAACGTTTTAAAATAGAATAGAATCTTATAGAAAAAAGAATTGCGCACCAAGCGAACGCCGAATAAAGCTGTGTATAATATTGCGGAATATTATTAGTACTTTATAAATTCACATGCGTTTTTTGAGAAATCGGAAATAGTGAAAATTACTACTTGCGGTCAATGGAAATTACTCAAAATTTGACAGAAGGCAGAAAATTTGATCTTTTACTTACATGTGAAATTTCATTTATCTATCTGAAATAGTACTCAAGTTATAGGCTTTTCGTAAATTGAAAGTAGAAAAAGTTCCACTTCCAGTTATCGGAAATCGCTCAAAAGATACGGATCTACGATTTTGATATAATACTTATATATGAAATTTCATCAACCTAGCTGTAACGGTACTCAAGTTATCGTGTTTACACAAACACACACATACACACACACACAGACATACGGACAAGATTGCAAAACTATTTTTTTCCGACTCGGCGAAAATCTCGATTTTTTTTTTTTTTTTTTTTTTTGCACGATTACAAGACTTTCTCTATACTTCGTATATACGAGAAAGTAAAAATGTGTGACAAACAGTTCATCCTCAGCGACCCTCTGATCGAGCGATCGCAAGTGGATCTATTTAATCTTGTTATCTCCCCTTATCCAACCTAATGTAGTATACTACATTGTCATCGGAAAAGAAGGTATATGAGAAATGTGAACGAAATTGCTGCAATTATATTTGAGACATAAATTGAGTTACAAGATTTGCCACACACTCGCGGACATTATGAACTTAGTAAATAACTTGTAAAGAGGTAGAAGAAGAAATAAGAAAACGACATCAGGAGATGTGTGTGTGTGGGGGGGGGGCACTTAAGGTGGCGTAAGACAAAGTAGAATGGAGGAAGAAGATCTTAAGGACGCGAGTGCAAAGGCGTAGTGACCCATTCCGGCGCCCAGTGTGAATTATCAACTCCCCTATATATATATATATATATATATATATATATATATATATATATATATATATATATATATATATATATATATATATATATATTCAAGGTAGCGAAAAAGCGCCCTTCCCCTCCCATGTCTTGTAACAGTTTTTATTTTTGTTTCTAACAATCGGTGAGAAAAATAGTTAAATCAGTCCGTAAAGCCAAGTCTATTTCCTCAACTTCGATTGTTTAATAATGGAGCTCAGAATTAGCTTTTTTTTTCTAACCCGTTTGGCGCCCCCTTGGTGTCGGCGCCCGGGGCGGCCGCCCCACCCTCCCTCCCCTTGCTACGCCTCTGCTCAAGAGGTATCCCAACAGTCAAATTAGATTACGTGGGAGAATAAGTTATTGTTGGTGACACCATGTCGAAACTTCTAACATGTCAGGGGTTGTCTAGAAATTCTGTTTCACTGTTGTGAACTCACGGACACGCCTCTATGGGTTAACCAGTGCATGGCGCCACATATAAGACAAACAACAACAAACGGGTTACAACACACACGATTAAATAAAACAAAGGTTTGTGTAAAAGAGTTTAATCCTATTTACACTATCTACACAAACACAGGCTATTTTTAATAGTAACACAAACTAGTACACACACTACGATACAGTGGTAATGTAAAAGTACACAGAACTAACCTACACTAACTTGGTAGAAGAACTGTGAGTTAATTTAGGCGATCATACACGTTCTCACACACTATATATACACGTACACAAACAGGTACAAACTGGGATATGGTCACATGCAGTAGCGTAGCGAGGGGGGGGGGGGGCGGGGGGGGACATATGTTTGAAAAAATAATGGGTTTGAAAAATAAATTGAAAGGTTGAGGGGGGTGCAAATCGAAAGTTTGACGGGGGGGGGGGGGTGCAAATGGAAATCTCGAGGGGGTGCAAATCGAAAGTTTGAGGGGGGGTGCAAATCGAAATCTCGAGGGCGGGGGGTGCAAATCGAAAAGTTTGAGGGGGGGTGCAAATCGAAATCTCGAGGGCGGGGGGTGCAAATCAAAACGTTTGTCCCCGGGCGCCAGAAGTGTCGCTACGCCTCTGGTCACATGACTGATACAACTCACCGCACAAGGATTGAACAGGGACAAGGTACAAGGTACAAAGTACAAACAACATTCACCTCCCCCCCCCCTTCATTTCCCTCCACATGTTCACTACATACGCTTTTGAAACCGACTCATACACCCCTCCCCCCCCCCCCTTCGCCCCCAACTCCTATTATCACACGTTAACACACAAAAATTTAAAACCCACTTGTAAAATTCAAATATCCTTATCCCCACCCACAACCTACCGTATTCTAAGAAATACTAGGCATGCTGCCCAGCTTTGCTTAGGCTTTCGAAAACATTGAGAACTTGAATGCTCAATTAATTCGCCCGAGGGTCGGTCTACGACCTCAGGAGTTATGAAGAGGTTACTCCGTGGACATTTTTTTTCGATTTATAGCTCATATAAGGCGCTGGTCAGTCGAGGTCAGTTTTGACCCCATCATCGTAGACTTTTCGGCCAACCGGCCACCGTGTTCTGTCGCCCCAAGGTAAGATCCTGCCAAATTTGAAGCGCCTGCGGCGCCGGGAAGTGCCCTGTCGGGCACCCGACAACTTTGCTTTATATATTATAGAGATTAGCAAATTGCATAGATAAACAAAGATTTCAATAAAGTAATTAAGGCCTGAAATACTTTAGTATAGAAATGTATTATTTGAATAGATGAATCTAGAATATCTAGATCTAGAATCCAAATAAATAAAGTAAATTTTACGAGTTTAGGCCGGAAAAATTGTATTGTATACATTTCATAGTGTACGTAGATCTAAATCAAATTTGAATGAAATAGTTCATTTCTTTTTATTCTAAACACGGCAGATGACGTCATTAGTTAATGTATAAGCAATAGTGACGACACAGTTTTATGCGTTCTTTTTCACATATATTAATGCTTTTCCGGTTGCATAAATAATACTGTTTCTCTACATTCGAATACGCCTTTAATTTTTATTTTTCTTCTTTAAATAAAATTGTGGTTATACATTTAAAACATCTAACATATTATTTTCAACAAAAGTCCGTATAAAGTTCTCCATTTATCGCTGCCGTTTCTGACGTGATGTCCGGCGAAAATATTTTGCGGACAGACAGAGAGAGAGAGAGAGAGAGAGAGAGAGGGGAGCGCACATGGGGAATTATATATTAGGATTAAATTGTTTTTATTTATCTTGTGCCCTGTACAGAATACAACATAAATGACGGAACTACTATCATACTTCTCCCACAGGGTCACTTAAGTTACTTCCCTCTTCGCCTAATTCGCCAAAAGTGTTTTGTAATTTATACACGATCTCCCCCCCCCCCCCCCCCCCCCACCTAAACTGTTTTTACCGCAAAACATTTAGCCAGTCGTAGGGTAGGTAGAAAAAAAAAGTTTTTTAGTTCCGCTATTAGTTATTTGCTACTTCGTGATATCCTGTTATGCCTACATTTCTCTGAAATGTAACATGTTGTTTTTTACTTTCAAATGAATTAATGCTTTCTGCA